CTGATTCCAGTGTTCTACGTATACACGGCAAGTTCTAACAGCAGATCCGTTGTTCCGTCACTGGTTCCAGTGTTCTATGTATACACAATAATTTCTAATGCTGGTTGGAGCTGTTGGACGGTGATTCTCTGTCTCTGCTGTTCTAACCTTCATCACTTTCTTCTTCGCTCAGTGATGATGACATCATTTTTGAAGACTTCGCCCGCCAGCGGCTGATCGGAGCAAAAGACGAGAAGGAGGAGGATGAGGAACCAGTGGATTCGCCTCAACTGAACGACAGATAAAAGTGAAGGGCCTCGCCGCCGTCGCTGCTGTCGTTTAGCTGCTGTTAGTAGTGTGGAGATGGCAGAAGTTCACCTGTGGTTCGAACCACAGCCGGGACACCCTTCAAACACTCGGTGGTGCAGTGTTTCTGTGTTTGTTCATGTCCGTCCTCTCTCTCTGCGTCCTGCAGGGTGTAAAACCACAGCCTTGTGTTTTCAGACCGAGCAGCGGCGGGGACTCAGAGCGGACCTTAGGGCGACAGCTGGAAGCATGCTTCCAATGTCTCTTTGTTCTTCATGTTTCCATTAGAGACAGAGAAGGAGTAACGTCGTCCTCAGATTAGCTTCAGTATTTTGTGTTGAAGAGTCTTCGTAAACATTACCACTGCCAACTCTGGATGATCAGCCGTCCACCATGGGAGCTGAGTCAGGGACGTCTGCAGGTTGATCTGCAGGATGCACCAACTCAACAGGAGGATGAGGAAACTGTGCATGAAATATATCAGTACTTTATATTTTATTAATGTCACAAATAGTCAGCATTTCATCAGGAGCAGCCCTGATTTGTTGTTTGATGTTGATAATTTTCCAAATCCTCGTTACTGGTGTTAAAACAGCTCCTCAGTCCTGGTTTCCTGACCCAGTTGTTCCACCACAGTTTAGTTTGAACAAACAGGCTTTCCCTTAAATCTTGAAATCTCTGTGACCGGTTTAAAATATTACAATACCCAACCCGGTACACTTTAGTATTCTCTAAGATTTAATAATTTCTTGTATTTAAGCTGTGACATCATCTCAGGCAGCAGGTGAGTCTTCACCAGAAGAAGGTAAAAATGTTCATGTTTGACTTTTCTTACATCAAAAAATTTGTAATTAAAATATCAACCAGCCAGAACATTATGACCCCTTGACTTTTCTTCTCACGGACAACAGTAGACCTCTAAAGGTCTCCTATGAACATGGAATGGTCTCTTGTGGACCCATGAAGCTCTACTGTGGATTTCATTCTCCAACCGTCCTCTGAGCGACTTGAAGGTCCTGACAGGTTGTTTTCCTGCTTCCTGCTGGTTGGCACATTACTGCCCCCCTGTGGTGGTATTACCAACCTGTAGCAGTTCAACAGAAGAGAAAGAAAAAACTTTGATTACGTCACACTCCCAGATGTTTTTAGCTTTTTATTCTGAACTGCTGGTTTGACAGAATGTCCTTTAACTCTCATCAGGTGGTGCTGAATCCGCACGCTGTAGATTTCTCGCTGCCGCTTGTCCACGGATGAAGATTGGATGAATCAGAAACTGATCATTTGTAAACTGATCAGCACGGATCAGACACATTGATTACCACCAGTGTGGCCCATTTATTGGTCCTTCATGTGCGTTGTCAATAGACTTGATGAACTGAACATAAAGTGACTGAAGTTTGAGTTTACTGGTGTGAACACTGAAAACCTGACAGATGTCTTTAATGTGAACAGATGTGTTTAGATGTGATGGAGGGTCGATGTGACACTTCTTATATAAAACATGTCTGTGTTTATACTTTAATTTGAAACGTGTTTTATTTTGACAAGAACAAAGGAAAGTTGTATAAACCCCCTCACCTTTAATAAAAGAACATTTGCAGCTGTGTGTTTGTGTTTTTTGCAGAAAAATGATCAGAACGTTTCATATTTTCATATATTATTCATATATTCAGAAACCAGTACGTGGGTCCAACCTTCGTCTGTAAAGTTCAGCAGCAGCTGAAAGTGACGTGAGCTTATTGGAGCACGATAAAGAACTTCAGTCAGGTTCTGATCATCAGGGGCCTCATGCATCAATGCTGCGTATATGCACAAAAAGGTTGTGTGCGCCTGGTTCCATGCACGTCGACATGTATCATCATGAATGTTGAGTGACTATGAGTAAAGTTATGCACAGTTTTGGCCTGCCGTGAGAATGCGCTTACCTCCACACAAACCTCTTCAGTCCACAGTCAGACTACATCGTACTGAAACTGATCCTGATCTGTGGTTTTGGACCCAGAGTGCAGACAGAGGTGAGGAACACCAAGGTAAAATAAAAAATCAATTCTAAAAAAGTTAAATCTGGTCCTCTGGACATTAAAAAAAAACCCAAAACAAAGCAAAACAACAAAAAATGTAGAAACGTTTCGTCTCTCGTCCGAGAGACTTCTTCAGTCTGAGGTGCTGTATGCCCTCTGTGAATAGTACACAGCCATCAGGTGCTAATGATCCATTGTTAGGCTGATGGTCCTTCTTGAGCATGTGATCAGCTGGTTTTGGTTGTCAGCAGCAAAACTGGTTGATCCACTCTGAGAAGGTGCTATTTAAGAGACTGAGCTGAAAACAGCACCTCAGACTGAAGAAGTCTCTCGGACGAGAGACGAAACGTTTCTACATTTTGTTGTTTTTCTTTGTTTTTTTTGTTTTTTTTGAATGTCCAGAGGACCAGATTTAACTTTTTTAGATTTTTCTACCTGGATTATTGAGCATGCATCAGGATAAAAAATCAATTCGTTAACCAAGAAAACAAAAGGTTGACGTGGCAGCAAAACTTGCATGAAGCTAATCAGGAGCCGGTGACACAAAGGACATGACAGCCTTGGGAGGACAATCCACAGACAAAGGAAAAACACAGACGCTGAATATATATACAGGGACACTAACGAGACATAATGTCAAACATCTGGGGTGATTAGAATTTGAGACAGGTGAGACAGGAGCTGACAACAATAGGGAGAGCAGGAAACAAGGATCTGAAAATCTAAACACAAATAACACACAGATTCTCATAAAACTCACCTGAATCCACTGAAGTATGACTCTAGTTTTCTGAACTTGATGTTTGCCTTGATGTTTTTTCACGAGTTTGGGCATTTATGGTTCAAATCTAAACAACTCTTAACAAAAAGTAATACATTTGAAGTTTATTTTTGCAAGTATGCTTTAAGTTAAGTATATAAAGTACTTTGTATACTACACACCATACTTGTAGTGTACTAGAAGTATACTGATTTAATACTTGTTTGGATTAAATTGGGAAATTTTTATACTATTTTTAATTCAATTCAATTCAATTCAAAAATACTTTATTAATCCCAAAGTGAAATTATTTGTTGTTGTAACTCGTTATCCTCATTTCATTAAGAGACGTTATAGATGCTGATGGCTGTAGGCAGGAAGGATCTCTTGTAAAGATCCATCCCACAATGGATCCTAAAAAAAACTGGCTGCAGATGCCGTCAGGTCCATCCACCCAGACTTGGCTGACCTCTCGGTTCCCCTGGACTGTAGGACCGCCTGAATGCCGGGCAGAACTCCTCCCAGAGCGATGGCCACTCCTCCCAGCAGTCTGCCGAGCTCCTCGTCGCTGCCGACAGTCAACTGTAGGTGCCGAGGGACAATCCTGTCCTTCCGCTGTCATGAGCCGTGTTTCCTGCTTGTTCCAGGATCTCAGTGGTCAGGCACTCAAGCACAACTGGCAGGTAGATGAGAATGCATCCACAGAACATCCTTTCAACTCATTTGAGATTTGGGGCTGTACTTGAGATATTATTTGAGCTTTTGAGATGTTAATCAGCTGCTGATGGTTGTAGAAAACTGCCTTTTCACCATGGTTACGCATCATAACAAATGTCCCAAACTAAAAAAGTTTCAGTAAAAATCCTTCTAGCTGCACAGCATCTGATACCAGAGGAAACAATCATCCAAAAAATGTGATTTACATCCAGAAAAAGAGGAATTAAAGTTTCCAAAAGCAAAATCTCAGAATGAAAGTAACAGAGCTGCTCCAACATGCAGCCACCTGGAGCGGCGCAATTCTAGAACATGAAAAGTATATCAAATAAAGTTTATAAAAAGTAAACTTTAAGTACACTTCCTCATTTTAGTGTAAAATAAGTATACTTGTAGTACACTTAAATAAACTACTTTTTGCTAAGGGAACTGAACCACATTAAACCTCAAACATCGAACACGCATAAAAAAGATCTAAACAACCTCACTTCAATGTAAAGTGTAAAGTTTCTTGTATTTCGTCACATTTATTTGTAAACTCACGCCTGTGAGTGAATAGAAGCATAAAATGATGTGAACTGTTGAAGGGGCCCTTTGTTCTCATTGGGAAGAAAACTGTCAGATCAGCAAATTAATTCAGAGCAACTCACCTGTGATGATTCCTCAGGTCGAAAAGATGAAGGTCATCATGTATGTCCATCTACAGATGTGGGACAAAGCTGTGGAGTTGCAGGATGACGTCACCGATAGAAGAACTGAGAGGCAGTGTATTTTCAGGGATCACACCGACCAATGACTGATCTGGTATTTCTCAGTCCTCCCTGAACCGGGCCATGCCAGGTACGGGATGACTTCATCACATGATGCCCTGATGTATACACTTTCCCCACACCGTGGCTGAAACGTTTCTTCACATCAACTATCCATCCATCCATTGTCTTTATTCACCTCTTTCTTTTTTGGGTCGTGGAGGTCACTGGTGTCTGTATCCAGCAGTCACAGTGTGAGAGGTGGGGGACACCCTGGACAGGTCTCCAGTCCATCACAGGGACACATAGAGACAAACGAGACAACCATTCACTCTCTCACTCTCACCTAGAGACAATTTAGAGTTACCACTCAGCCTAACATGCATGTTTTTGGTCTGTGGGAGGAAACTGGAGTACCTGAAGAAAACCCACACATGCATGAAGAGAACATGCAAACTCCACCAAGACAGTCCCCTGGCTGGGATTTGAGCCGTCAACCTTCTCACTGAGAAGCAACAGCTCTACCAGCTGTGCCACTGTGCCGTCACTTGAACTATTTACAGAATAATCTACGTTCTAGCAGCTCCGGAGCGTCTCTGTGTTTACAGTAATTTGTTATTAAACACGTGCGTCAAGTCGGAAATGCCTCGGCCTCAGAAGTGCTCCTCCGGCAGATCAGAGTCTCCGGTCCACTTCAGTCATCGACAACACACACACTCGTCTTTGAACGTGTGGCAACACGTTTTTACAGCCCACTACTTCTTTGAGTGTCTCCGACTCACTGTCCATCACATTTTTCATTCTAATAGTTCTACAGAGAAACCCACATGCAAAACACATCTGCATCGATGTTACATATTTAAATGGAGGTGCATCAGGGGAGGGGTCTTATGTCAGAGTCAGAGATTCTTTATTGTCATTCGCACCTCATGTGGTACATGTGGTGGAGCGAAGTTATGTCCACAGGGTCCCAGTTACATCCAACAATAAAATGTAAAAGAAAAACAGTGATAACATTTAAGATATTAACTAAGAAAAACATCAACTAAATATACACTAAGCACTTGTAGTATGACATATCCTGAGATATATTCATCAATTAAACGGGTTCTTTCATTTTTCTGGACTGTATAACATACGTGCATTGAATTTAATAAAATGTGGACGTGAGACGTTAATTATCTTTGACTCACCAAACGAGTGGGTCATTTATTAACAGAATCAAGTTTAACACATCACACATTTACATTAATTGGCAAGAATTGAAAAATAACGACAGCTTATTAACCAGTTTTACAGGAGTGAGAACAATACGGCGATTGTTTTCCTCACTTTCAGCAGAACAGACGTCAAATCACACGGCGGTGATTGAAAACTTTGCTTCAGACATTTCTAAAAATATCTGTAATGATTTTTAGCAGATAGAAGAATTTTAAAGATGAAAAGATGAAGTTTATCTGAGAGAGATGTGTGAGGGAATTTGTCTGTTTTAACCAGAACATGCACGCTCCTTTGGAAATCAGCTTGTCCCAACAGTACACTTTGGTGAAGGTCGACTTTTACCTTTTCTGAAGATAGATCAGTTCCGGCGTGAAGTCCCACTTCGAGCCACTGTTCAGCGTCTCCGTAAGAACAGCTAAAGACCTTGGGAGTCGTGGTGTTAGTCATCCAAAACAGACTTTCATAATCCCCAGAATCTCCTCTCGTGGTTTAGTGGCAGCTTACTGAGCAGCTGCATTCCAGCATTCTGCATTCTGGAACTGCAAACTCTCTGGAACTGCTACTCCATCTTCAAGACTGGCACGATTCAAAACTGAACCTCGAGCTGAACTCTTCTCGTTGAACTAGGAAGTGCCAACATTTAAATGGGCTCTACTTCCGGTTCATTTGAGAGCTTCTGATTGGTCGATGGACCCAAACAGAGGTGTGTTTTGTGGTGTAAGGTGTTATGAAAAGTCAAGGAAAAGATTAAGATTGTTTAAGAACAGACAGAAAGATATTACGAAGAAACCAGACTTCGTGGAGTCTCTACTCCTAGTATCTTGCTGTAAAAGTTAAACATGACATTTCTTTTCAGTAAACCTTCAGTTGACCGAAGCTTGAACTTCGACACACTTACAAACTTTGCTCATTGAAGACAGAAAATCAGACAATGCATCATTCACCTGATTTCTTCTTTGAATGAGGATTAAAAATCATTATTACTGTTTTAAGTAAATAAAAATGAGTAGTTCACTTCAACATGTAAACATTGTTTGAACTAACACAATTTGATTATCAAAACATTTGTAAAATAGTAATGATCATAGAGAATTGTCTTTTTCCACTTGATTAATTCAAGAAAGAAAGTCTCAGGATGGGTCAACCTGTATTTCTGGATGCAAATCAATGAAATGACAGTTTCTAACCATATCATCCTAAGGTCAAGTTTTGAGATCAGGCTTAGTTCACTACACACTCATAACATAAAAACATCACGTCGAACACCAGCACAAACCTGAACACGAGTCTGTGTAAGCAGATGAGCACGCACAAACACACCAACATGAAACAGATCAGCAGCGACATGAAACAGATCAGCAGCAACGTGATGTGATTTTTTCACCGTGATTATTCTGGTCAGAGATTCATGAGTCCAACAGCCTCAGGGTAGAAGCTGTTCCTCAGTCTAACGGTTCCACACTCAATGCTCCTCAACTCCCTCCCGAGGGGAGCGGGGCAAAAAGTGTGTGCGCTGGGTGAGTGGGGTCCCCCACGATGCAGGCGGCTCTCTTCCTCTTACGTGCGCTCAGTTCCACATTCGTTCAGACGTCTGACGGAAAGAAACATACATGAGCACTTTCCTAGTTTTGTGCCTACTTTCATAAAAAAAACAACAACTGCACACTTGTTGATCTGTGAGGCCCTTGGAGACCATCAAGAAGCTTCAACAGATGTTCTACAGACGACGCATGAACCTGGACGGTGCGAAACCTTTCAGAACGCTTTCCTTGTGTTCAGGATTGGGATTAAACTTTACAGATTTGAAAATTTCAGACCTAATTTCCCATCAGTGGATCATCTCTTTCACCTTTAGTCACGTTTTTCCTGAAGGTGAAATCTTCGTGGATGAGATTCTCTTCTCTTGGACTTTGAGGAGCCTCAGGAGGCCGGTTCGGATTTCTTTGGTACGAACGCCGTAGATGATGGGGTTGACCGTCGCTGGGATCAGAATGTACAGGACGCCCATCAGGGTGTTGACATCCGTACTGATGGGAATGTTCAGGTTGTGAGAGAGGAATGTGACACTGCCCACCAGGTAGAAGCACATGATCACCATCAGGTGAGTGCCACAGGTGTGGAACGCCTTCAGGCGGTCTTCGCCGGCCGCTGCCGCTCGCAGGACGATGCTGAGGATCTTCATGTAGGAGAAGAAAATGATGGAGATGTCCACACCAACAAAGCAGATGATTACAGCCAGACCGGCTGCGTTGTTCCTCGCGGTGTTGCCACACGCCAGGATAACCAGCGCCATGTGGTCGCAGTAACAGTGGTTGATGGTGTTGGAGCTGCAGAACCACAGAGAACCTACCAACCCCACCAGAGTGGCCATGATGGAGACGCTGCGCACTAGCGTGAAGAGCAGCAGCTTCAGCAGCGCGGACGAGTCCACGATGTCCGTGTAGCGGAGCGGCTTACAGATCGCCACGTAGCGATCCAGCGCCATCGCCAGCAGCAGCGTGGACTCCACCGAGGACAGGAAGTGAGTGAAGAACATCTGGATCAGGCAGCCGACCAGCGAGATGCGGTTCCAGTTGAACAGCAGGCCGAGCAGCATGTTGGGGATGATGGTTGTGACCACGAGGATGTCCACGACGCACAGCGAGCAGATGAGGAAGTACATGGGGCTGTGCAGACGCTGCACCCTGAGGATGACGTACACCAGCACAGAGTTCCCCAGCAGCACCGAAAGGTAGGAGAAGAAGAAGAGGAGCGCCAGCAGGTGGCGGTGTTCCTGCAGCTCTGGAAAACCTCGGAACACAAAGCTGGTGTAGGAGAAGTTCCTGCTGGGCGGAGCCTCCAACATGGCTCACCTGCAAACACCAACAAGGAGAGGGAAACAGAAGTCAGATCTTTCATCAGGAGAACCAGCAACGCCCCCTGTTTGGTGGATGCTAATGAACATGTTTCACATCGTTTATCCATCCATCCTTCCATCATCTTTACCCACTTCTTCCTTTTGGGGTCGTGGGGGTCACTGGTGCCCATATCTAGCAGTTACTGTGCGAGAGGCGGGGGACACCTGGACAGGTCTCCAGTCCATCACAGGGACACATAGAGACAAATGAGACAAACAACCTTTCACTCTCTCACTCACATCTAGGGACAATTTAGAGTTACCAATCAGCCTAACATGCATGTTTTTGGTCTGTGGGAGGAAACCCACGCATGTACAGAGAGGACATGCAAATTCTATCCGGCAACCTTCTCGCTGAGAGGCGACAGCTCTACCAACTGGGCCACCGTGCCGTCCTGTTTCACCTCCGTCTGTAAACTAAGTCCAAACGTCTTGACTGCTAGAGCTCCCTGAATGAAAGATAAATCCACAGTTTACTAACAGTGGGTCCAAAGACGCCTGAAGAATGAAGCAGGTCCAGCAGCACAAGTTAAGCTCCATGATTTATGAAGTTTTTAAACTTCAAACTGTTCATTTTAGAGTGAAATAACGTCTTAACTCTAAATTAACATTTGTACAATGTTTTTGCTTGTACAGATTTTACTCTTCTTGTATTGAAGGTATTTCTGTCTTCTTCCACCCAGCGTGTCTCTCTGCTTGAGGACTGATGGGTTCCTCACAGAGGTCAAAGGTCACACACCCAAACGCTCATTGACTTCCATTGGATCTGAGCTTCCAAGCAGGAAGTGAAGGCTGTTTTTAATTTGCCATCTCTCTTCCGTAAAACCCTGTAGAACCATCAAACAGAACCTGTGGTTCCATCAGAACCTCCTGCTGTTAGAACCATCAAACAGAACCTGTGGTTCCATCAGAACCTCCTGCTGTTCACGAGCCAAGAACTTCTTTGACCTGACTTCTAGTTTTCACACAGACTGTCTGAGACTTACTTTTTACTCCGTGTTTCTGCCTGAAGTGCTGCGGCGCTCCTCTTCTTTCTGCCCTACCAAAAAAAATAAATAAAAAAAAGAGGTAAGAATCACCATGGCAACCAGTATATTCTGCAGGTTCTTTGTTCTGTTTTCCATCAGGGCTGCCCCCAGAGGTCCAGTCGAGCGCTGAATAAAAACTTCTGCAGGATTCAAGATCTAAAGTCCAAAAAGTTCAAAGAACAATTAATCCAGAGTTAAAAATAAAATTTAAATAATCTCACACTCCTTCCAAAATAAGAGTCTGTTTCTGTCACAGCTTAGACGATTAAAAAGTAAAGCACTAATTTAAGTTTTGGAGATGAAAGATGAAGTTTTAGGCAGAGGCTGCTTTGATTCTTCAGCTTTTCATAATTCATCTTGTTTATTTACAACCTGCCAGTTTCTGTTTTTGTTGTTTAGATTGAAAAATAAAATCAGAGACGGAACTGAGACCAACATCAAAACAGAATTTATCTGTGAGGTTGAGATTAAAAAACACATTATTCATTATAATTTAGTATATTTTTCACCTTTAGATATAAAACAGACAGGCTGGGAAATTATATAAATATATATGTATTCAGATTTATTTAACTTTTATTTCTTCTCAGACAGAATGAAGCCAGAAATTCCGAAATATTTATTTGTTTTATTATTTTCAGTTCTTTTATTAATATACATCTAGTTGTTTCGGCCTGCAAAACATTTAAAACAGCTCAAAGGATGCAGTTTAGTTTGTACTGAAATGTTTAATTTTCATTTTGAAGCAACTTTAAAATACTAGTCAAAAGAAATATAAAGAAATACTGTTTTATATTTATTATTATTATTATTATTATTATTTTATATCGTCCAATCTCATCAACCACAACAAATCATTTCTTACTTCAGGCGGTTTCCAAACATCCAGGAGCTCCTTCTGAGTTCTCTGCAGACAAAAAACACAAAAACAAAAAAAACACAAACCTGAAATACAAACAACTTTACAACAAATATCTATCAGGCTGCGTTTTGTTTATGTGCAGAAATAAATTGAAGTATATAAACTGACACAACAGATTAATTCTTCTTTTTGATGGAACCTTCCTGCAACATTTCTCAATAAAACAAAACAAGAAAAATGTTTGTTTTTATGATGCTCTTATTGTGAAATATTAAGTCTGAACGTTCTACACACAACAAATCTTTAAATATTTCAACATAAAATTTCCATCCTGACGATGTTAAAAAGCATTCATTAATATTTTATTCATTTTATCCAAGTTATTTTATGAAACTAATATTTTCTCTACTATATTTTTACATTTTAGTTTGATTTTTGTAAGAATATTTTATTCGTATATTAATCAAACGTTTATAAAGTGTTTTCTTTAAGTATTTCTGTACATTTAATCTGCAGCTTCTCAAAATACAAGACTTTCCCAACAGACCTCTGCGTGTTTTTAATCGTCTTTAGATTCAAAAAGACACTGAATGTGAGAACATTTGTCACATCTGGAAATCCAGCTGTGGCAAATGTTACGTGAAATTTTCACACATAAAATCTGGAAAATGCTAAAAACTGTTAGAAATAAATAAAGAATTAAACACATGAGTGAGCACACGTCTCATATTCATAAAAACATAAAAATATACAGTTTAAGAAATTCACAACATGGTTTCATTTTATTCAATAAAATTAAATGCTAAAACGATTAAATTACTAACTTAATGAATAATATATTAAAACTATTGCAATAAATTTAAATATTACATAAATTAAATTAGAATATATGAGTAAAATAAAAATAAAATGATAAAATAAACCCTGAACTTTATGAAAATGACGTGGACATTTGTTTAAAATTTAGAACATAAAAATTTAATTTTGATTCTTTATTTAAACACTTTTTCATCTTTTAGCAGAACTTCATGCAGTTGTTTCCGCACGGACACATTTGAACAGCGGACTGTTTCCTGTTTCAGTAAGTGTGAATCATATAATCACATTAAATCTGCTTTTATATCATATCTATGAGTGTGAATGTTGATTTTATTTTCACAAGAGAAGCTGAAGAAACTCATCAGCTGTTAGTTTATTAAACGTTAAAGTAGCTATTAAATAATTTTTAATCAGTTTAGAAATATAAATCGAGGACGGAGCGTCTGCAGAGAAATAAGCGCTTCTTCTACCGGGTCAGAACCATTTACTTAAATACCAAGACTTAAAGAATTTCTGCAGTGATTTTATTTTTCACATGAACGCTCTGCTCAGTCTGAGTTCAGGTCCCGTTATTAACACATAAAGCTCGCCGAGGAAACAAAACCAAAACATCTCGTTAAATGCGGATTTAAATAAGTTAGAAACTATAGTCAAACTCAGTCGACCCTCAGAAGGTCTCGTAGAAAAAAATCAGCCACGTAATTTATTTTGTTTGTGTTTTTTTCTTTTATTTTTGTGTGTTATCAATAAACATGATTATTCCTGACAAAGCATAAATATCTTTTTAGATTTTTAACTTCCTCAGAATAATAAACTCCCACTTTCTTTACTCCAGTGTTCCTTAGAAGAAAGAATGGACCCGTTGAAACCCATTATAAAAGCATTGGGGCCTTCCCTTGAGTTCTCTTTTATTTTACGTCTCCTCTACTTTACGTTGGCTCACGAGTCGATGCTCCACTTTCTCATCGTGCAACTTTCTCTTAAACGCGGCCTCCTGCAGCTCGGTGTCTCGCCTCGTCCAACGATTTGTTTTAGTTTGAGGTAAAGATGAAAAACTCACTTCTGTTGTGTTCAAGTAAACAGTCGGCTCCAAGGCCGACAGCGGCCGACTCGTGAGGGCTTCACAGAAAACGAGGCCTGATCTCTGATGACAGGACTTGGCGGGTTGGGTGGGGGTTAGGTTAAAGGTGGGTTCAACTCAGAGGGAATAAATTCAGTAAAAGATCAAAAGTCAAAATAAAGAAATCCGATCCGTCGTCCTAAAAACCGTTTTATCATCAAACCCCGCAGAAACGTCCGAAACAGAGATACAGTTCTTACCTGACTGCTTCATCGCCTCCTCGCCACGAAAACCTGCGTCTGTTCACCTTATAGCCAACGTCCAGACGTCCCACAGGACGACTGGTCCCTGAACGCAGCTCTCAGCTCTTTAAATGAGACGGTTTCTGCAGAGTTTAATCATCTCGACGAAGTCCATACAAGATGAAACGTCAAATATTTATTCATTTACATTTAAAATGTTTCTTGTATTTATTCCTAACGTCACGGTTTATTTTCATGAAACAACAAACCATTTTACTCTTACTGATGTTTAATAAAATTTAGCAATAATGGACAAAAATGTTTCAGATGTCCACAGGTCTGAGAGTTTATTAGAAATAAAATCAGATTCTGTTCCTGCGTGTTCGTGTCGAGGACATTAACAGTTTCCTCTGAAGTTTCGTGTGCTGCTCTTTGGTTGAAGGTAAAGGTCGAATGAATGAAAAATTGGCCCGAGCTCGAAGCAGCAGGTTCCTCTGAGAGCGATGCCGGCCTTCGTTATAAATCCATTTAATTGGTCGTTTCTGTCTGAGTCCCACAGCCGCAGCTGGAATCAGACTCCTGCCCTCCTCATGAACCAACATGATCAGTAAACACGTGATTCTGAGTCAAACACCGTTTGATACTAAAGGAGTCGTGTTGTGTTTTCCTCACTAACAGATCTGGGTCGGTGCAGCATCCCATGGATTTATATAAACATGTGTTTTATACATTCATATATTCATCTACAAGCATGTCTTAATGACAGCAAAGGACAGTTACTGTAAACTTATAGAATGAAAGAGAGCAAAGAGCTGAAAGAGTTGCAGACAAAAATCTGTTTTGACTTAATTTAACCGGAGAAGATTGGAGAGAAACTCACAAAGATCAAAGGAAACCTGGCTGAAAACATCTGGGTGAATGGAAGTCGAGTGAAAGTCCTTTCTGTGTTTTTATGATTATTTTCATCACAGAGAAGCATTTCTAACAGTGATGAACAGACAGATGATTAAACTTTTGTGTGGATAGCTGAGGGGGAGGGGCTTAGTGAACTGTACGGTCTGATTCACCTCCAACTCAAAGTGTGATTGACTCGTTTCCTCTCAAATTGTATCTCAAACTTATTTTCTCAGGTTTCAAAGTCAACAAATCATATGATCTCAGTTCTGTCTGTTCTATTTAAATGCTCGACAGAGACTCTTCCTCTCAGCACGTAGCTGCAGAGCCTGCAGGGGAAGGTGCTTTGCTGCGTGGTCCTAGTGCCCGACCTGTTTGTGAACAGCTGCTACACAAATGATATAAAGTAGTCGAGATTTATTTAGGGGTATTTTCACCAAATTTATGAGTATTGTTGGTTTCACAAGAAAATTGTCAACTCGACAGCAACTCTTGTGACATTTTTGTTTCATTACACCTCCTCTACTGATCTATGTCATTAATGGTGACATGTTTTTAACTACTTTGGCTGTTTCACAGGTAAATAAACCCACATGGTATCTGTAGATTTTGTTTCCTACTTTATGACTTTTTTTAACTGGTAAATGGACTGTACTTATATAGCACCTTTCTATCTTATCAAGACACTCAAAGCGCTTTACACTACAATCTGTGCCTCATTTACCTTCATACAGCTCTATACTAGATCTCTACAAAGTTGATTGAACAAATCATTCCAAAGAGACTAATCAGTGTTTTGTCACATTCATACACCGATGGGACACACATCGGAGGCGATGAGGGGTTCAGTGTCTTGCCGAGGGACACTTTGTCATGTGACTGCTGGTGGATTTAAACAAGGGGTGTTAAACTAATTTCCACCGAGGGCCACATGGTTGCTCTCAAAGGGCCAGATGTAGTGGTGTAGTCTATGTGATATGCGAGTATATGGAGTCTACAAACTAGAAAAGCTTGGGAATTCCAGTATACCCACTAAAGTACCCAATGATATGAGCCCATGTCGCGTATCACTGGCAATCATACATGAGCTTGTGTCATTGCCAACACATGTGGAACATTTTATAGACTGAGTTGGTTCAGCCTGTTTTTTGTATAATTAATACTTCTGTACTTACTACTTAGTACTCGAACGTGTTTTGCTTTGATACTGTTTTATAAATTCTATGTCTTTAATACAAAGCCAACAGTTGTGCAAAGTTTGTTGTACGTTTATTCAAATGAAAGCATCAGAGAAATTTTGAAATGTGCAATATGCTTAAACATCAAAATAAATTAACCATTACATTGTACTAAATGGTGTACTTTGGTTTATAAGCACAGTATAACCACTACAAAAATGTAGACTACACCACTGCCCAGATGTGACTGTAAGACAGTATAAATGTAGCTAACTTTAACTAAATGTAATGTAAAATAAACGCAACTACCCCTTAATGTTAAATAACTTTGAATGTTTTTACTTATTCAACTTACAAATATTACATATTTGCATAGATGTAGAAAAATATGTCTGCTGTTATCACATAAAACCTTTTAATTTGTCAGGTTATGAAACCTATGTTATAAATCAATGATCAAACTTTCCAAGTGAACAAGAAAAACATAACAAGTTATGGCATTAACTTCGTTCAAAACTTTTTTTGTCATAGTTAAAAGGGGCAGAACGGTCCAACCAACAGTTGTGAGCTGCTAAGAAAGTGACAGGTGTAGCATGTTACAAAAAACAAAATGTCTGCACACCGCATGGCAAGGGTCATACATCCAACTAATGAGAGATGGTATTATTACAGAAAATATTTACCTGCATAAACACATAAACCTGCAATCACAAATGCATTGCTGCAAATTTAACACAATATAATAAAATACATTTAGTAAGTATAATAAACTCAAAATAACAACATTAGGGTTGAAGGCTAACTTTGGCATATTTAGCTCCGTGTTTGGTGTCAAAATGCCGACGTAGATTGTTCTCTTTGACGACCGCCACTGTCTCATAACACAAAAGACATACCGGTTTCTCTCCTTGAAGCACAAACATATATTCGCCTTCCCATCTTTCTTGAAACAGCATCAATTTGTCTCTTCCTGGACATTACGTGCTGAGAGGAAAAGTCTCTGTTGAGCATTTAAATAGAACAGACAGCACTGAGATCATATGGTGATTTGTTGACTTTGAAACCTGAGAAAATAAGTTTGAGATACAGTTTGAGAGGAAACGAGTCGATCACACTTTGAGTTGGAGGTGAATCAGACCGTACCGTTCACTAAGCCCCTCCCCCTCAGCTAGCCACACACCTAACACCTTTGGATTCACAAGTATGAAACATTCTTTGCAATTAACACATTTATGCAAACGGTTCTTTAGAATCACTTACAGTTCCCCTGAAGGATTTGACACATTTTCAACCAGATTTAGGTCACAGTTTATCAAAACCTGTCCTATAGTTCTTTTGAAGATTACCCGTATAAAGCTGCGAGGCTCACAGTTACCTTTTGCTGTGGTCTTCAGCCCCACCCTCAATTAAAGATTAGTGGTAGCCTTTGCCAACCTGTGATTGGTACCAGACCCATACCATTTTATTTATAAAGCATTTAAAACAGCGACAAGGCCAACCAAAAGTGCTGTACAGACAGAAAAACAGGCAACACACAAAGCAATATACAAAATGAAGTAAATCAGAATATAGACATAAAAAACGACTAACCAGTGTGAAGCAAACAGGTTCACAACACAGATCATCTGGTGTTGAAAGTTACTGAATAGTAGTGGGTTTTTAAATGGGATTTGAAAACTGAGAGCAAAGTCTTGGTCCTGCTACAGAGAATGCCATGTCACCTCTGTGCTTAAGACGAGTTCCTGGAACTGTGAGGAGCAACTGGTCCGCTGACCTCAGAGAACGTGGTGGGACATACGGCTGTAGCAGATCAGAGTGATGGGGGGTACATTTTGGGTCTAGCTCATGGGCACGTATTGTATTTACCAGGTTTATATAAGGTTGGGATGTGGACTAATCTGCACACGTAAGCTAAAAAATGTAGTTCCAACCCAAACACTAACATCTAACGGTACATTAAAGACAATCATTAACTTGATCCTCTTACATTCATACAGAGAAGTTAACTAATTCCTCCAAAGAATTCTGGGTTTGCCTGGATGATGGAGCTCCTCACCTCATCTCTAAGGCTGATCCTGGTCTCCCTACTGAGGATGCTCATCCAAGCAGCTTGGATCCAAAATCTGGTTCTGGGGTCCTGATCCAACCCCCAGGGTCATAGACAGGGGTTGAAACAAAGATGGACCAGTAACTCCAGAGCTTTGCTTTTCAATTCAGCTTAACTACGACACACTGGAGCAACGATCTCATTACTGCAGACTCCTACCATCACTCAGAAAGAAGAAAAGACAAATGAAACGAAAAATTCAAGGATGGTTTGCAGATGGGACAGGCCGAGAAAATGATAGAGCCTTCAGGATGTGCTGTCGTATTTCTGTGGTTCTGATGCCGTAGATGATCGGGTTGAAACAGCTGGGAACAAACAGGTACATAATGCTGATGGAGACTCGAGTGGCAGCTGGGAGACTGTTTCTGGTCCGATACGCTACAGAAACTGTAAGCACGAAGGCCAGACTGACGACCATAACGATGATGTGAGTGATGCAGGTGTGAAGAGCTTTGCTCCCAGATTTTCCTGAAAGCAGCACGGTGTGGAATATGACCACATATGAGGTGATGATCAAGCAAAAGTCCAGCACGGTAACAAAGATCACTGTCATCAACCCAACCAGACTGTTGGCGGTGGTGGCACCGCAGGCCAGCTCCACCAGCGCCATGTGTTCACAGATGCAGTGGTTTATGATGTTCGAAAAGCAGAAGGGCAACCGTCCTGCAAGACTCACCACTAATGACACCATGACCACGTTTCTGGTCAGAAGGGGTAACACAAACTTGAGGAATCTAGTTAAAGACACATGCTCTTGATAGTGGAGTGGGCTGCAGATGGCAAAGTACCGGTCCAATGCCATCAGGAGCAGCAGAGTAGACTGACAAGTTCCTAAAATGTGAAGAAAAAACATCTGACCCAAGCAGCCGCTCAAAGAAACTCCTCTCAGGTCAAACAACAGGTTCAACATCAGGTTGGGGAGGATGAGCATCGGAAGGCTCAGGTCGACGCCCAGCATGCAGGCGATCAGGATGTACATCGGAGAATGGAGGCTTTTCTGAGAAATGATGATATAAAGCAGCAGGCAGTTGGCAAACAGCGACACAATGACCAGGACGGATACAGGGATGAAAACGAGTGGTCTTAGTGGGCCGAGGTCAGCGAAGGCGTTAAAAATAAAATGTCTGTGTGAGATGTTTTCCCACAGCGGCTCCATCCTCTGCTCCTCCACAGTTTCAGGATCAGTCTGACAAAAACAAAGACACAAAATGTGAATAACTTGTCCAGAACTCATCGACTCACTTCATCATCGTCAGTAAAATAAACGTTGAGCTCACATCTCAAACAGCAGATCTGTATCTTCCACTGATCATCAGGATCATTCTTTACACCAGATACAGATTCCTTATTTTCCTACGTGTGCTTGGGTCACTTCGTTACATTTATTTTGGGTTTGTATTTAACTGCAAGAATACAAACACGATTAAAAAGAGATCAATGAAAATAAAAAGGCATTGGATTAAAAAAGCCTTTTTTTTTCCCAGAAGTTAAAGTTTAAAATCTTGAGTGAACATTTGGAGTATCAAGAACTCTTGTATTCATGCTCCTTTATATTTAGATTTTAGAGTTAAATGTTTTTTTTATCATCTTCAGTTTTACAGTGAAAGAAGTGATTACAGTAAAAAGAGGAAAACTTTGGTACACACGTCCGAGCTCTAAAACTAGCTTTCTTTATCAGCACATCATGGATGTACTGAACGTGGATGCAAATTCCTAAAAATATTTTGTAACCGGTTTTTGTTTTGCACTTCTTCACCTGCCGGAGTTACAAACAGAAGAAAAGACCTAAAGAAGGCATCTAGAAAAAAACATTTAAAATACAAACAAACGTTTAAAGCAGGAAAAATGGATGCATATAATTCAAGAGGACAACTTTTCAGTAAGTTTTGTCAGTACACGACTGCAAACCCAAAATATTCAACTACCCCATCAGTCAATGTCAGGTCTGAACAGAGGAAGCAAACTGTCTGTATTATTTCCACAAACATGTCAGCACCAGAGAGATGAGTCAACTAAAGACTTCACAGCTGAACGTGTGGAATCAGACAATTTGCTTTAAACGATTTTACGCCTTAAATTGTGTAAACTTCACGTAAAAGCAGCTGAAATAAGACAAAGTCTGGAAAAATGATCAGTTGTCAACAAAAGATAAAAAAGACCACATCACCATCTGTGTATCAAATATGACAACATTTAAATAGTTTTACATTTGTTTTTCATGTCACAGTTGTGAAGTAAAAAGTGAATTAAAGCTGAAGCGTTGCTGTTTTGGACTTCCCACACCTCCAACCATGTCCTGTTCATCAGTTTTGGTTCTTTATGTTGACTTTCACTGAGTTCATTCAAATTCAAATTGGAAAAATCTCCCCTGAATGCAAATAAAATCAACCTTTTTGAAAAACTAATTCCTCACAGGTTTCATGTAACGTCCTGAACCTTAGACCGACTCCCGTCTATTGGAGTTTTTACACATTTCTGTTTGCCTTCAGTTTTTAGAGCCCATTAACAACTTGATGAAACAGTTGAAAAAACAATTTAGCACTGCAGAGATGAGTTTTACACAAAAACAAACCTGACATGGAGCAGAGAGTGCTCCTGTTTCTTCAGTTTGATTACATAAAAACATTAAAATCAACGGGTCTGAATCAGTTTGACCTCAGAGCAGCTTCCTTTGCTTCAGGTGTTAAAGCTCCTGAAACAGGAAGATAAAAATCAACAACAAGCTGGGAACTGATGGTTCTCCTGTTGTTGGTTGGTGTTGGTTTAGGAGAGCATCAGTTGGTTACAGATGTTCTCCATGAAAACTAACAACTCGGCACTTTTAACCTCTCTGTCTGACGCTGCTATTGGCTGACAGCAAATAACACGAGGACACACAATTACAAAAAACTCTAAGAAGCTAACGTCGCATAGAAATCACAATTAAACAGAAATATGTTGATTTATTTACTTTAAACATTTTCATTAAGCAATTTTAATGCCTCAGCTATAGCCCCAAATCCTAAATGAGTTGAAAAGGAGGCGCCATGGCTGAATTCCCGTCAACCTGGTGGTGGTGCTTGAGTACCTGACCGCTGAGATCCTGGAGCTGGTGGAAAACGTGGTTCGTGATAACGTGAGGACTGGGATCATCCCCCGGCACCTTCAGCTGTCTGTCTGTGGTGACAAGGAGCTCGACAGACTGCTGGGAGGAGTGACCATCGCTGAGGGAGGAATTCTGCCTGGCATTCGGGCAGTCCTGCTGCCCAGGAGGACTGAGAGGCCCGTTGGATCTGACAACAAGCTGGATCTGGGTGGACGGATAGGTGTCTGTGGCCAGATTCTTCAGATTTGCTGCAGGAGATCCTTCCTGCCCACATCTATCAGCATCTAACAACTCTTGAATGAAACCAGGATGATGAGCTACGACAACACTTAATTTCCCTTTGGGATTAATAAAGTATTTTTGAATTGAATGGAACTGAATTAATAAAGCCCTCGCAAATTAAACATCCATCCATCCATTATCTTTTACCCACTATATAATAATATGTATTGTATTATTTATTAATAAAGAAATGTTGTACTTTTTTATGATGCAACAAATGCAATTTCAGTCCAAAATTACATCTTTAAATGTGTTTTTTTTATGCATCCTCACTCATGCAGTTTTGTGCTAAAGGAAGTACAAGAGCAGAAAAGAGGTTTTAATTTTTCTTTGAAGATTTTTCTCTGCATACTTTTTGCCTTTGAGTGTAAAACAAAATAATGAGCCACAGCTGCGAGCAGGTTTACGTAGCTACGCTAACACTCATTTAACAGTTCTTAGGGAAGCCAAACCAGAAAAACCATCAATGCCACCCCTCTGTCATTGTTTACTACAGTATAGACGGTCTCTGAACAGTCAGGCTTTTACGTGCAATGCAATGAGCAGTAAATGTAGAGTTTGGTGGCTTTAGGATGCCATCTCCTCTGTGGTCCACACTGCGCTCAACCACCTGGAGCAGAAAAACTCTTACGTCCGTATGCTCTTTGTGGACTTCACATCCGCCTTCAACACCATGATCCCCCAAACCCTGATGGACAAACTATCCACACTAGGACTAGGCCCCTCCATCTGCAACTGGGTACTAGACTTTTTAACAAACAGACCACAGTTAGTGAGGATCCACAACCTCTCCTCCTCCACCATAACCCTCAGCACTGGCTCTCCTCAGGGATGTGTGTTGAGTCCCCTCCTGTTTACTCTGCTCACGTATGATTGTACAGCTACCCATCCAGGCTGTCACATTGTAAAGTTTGCAGATGATACAGCGGTGGTGGGATACATCACAAACAATGATGAGTCCAGCTACAGGCAAGAGGTGGAACACCTGGAGAGCTGGTGCAAAGAGAATAACCTTCACATCAATGTGAAGAAGACAAAAGAGATGATTGTGGACTTCAGAAGGAACAAAAACATCTACACCCCCCTGAACATAAGAGGATCTGCGGTGGAAGTGGTCTCCAGCTACAAGTACTTGGGTGTACACATGAATGACAACCTCAGCTGGAGCAACAACACCACCAGCCTGATCAAGAAAGCTCATCAGAGACTCTACTTCCTCAGACGGCTGAGGCGAGCTGGTCTGGGAAGCTCAGTCCTCACCTCCTTCTACAGGTGTGCAGTGGAGAGCATCCTGTGCTCCAGCATCAATGTGTGGCATGGAGGCTGCACAGCTGCAGAAAGAAAAGCTTTGCAGAGAGTGGTGAAGGCTGCACAGAAATCTGTTGGAATCAGTCTCCCCACCATCACAGACATCTACACCTCCAGATGCAGGAAGAGGGCCACCTGCATCATGAAGGACCCCACCCACCCAGCACACACACTTTTTGCCCCACTCCCCTCAGGAAGGAGGTTAAGGAGCATTAAGTGTAGAACCACTAGACTGAGGAACAGCTTCTACCCTGAGGCTGTTAGACTCATGAATCTCTAACTAGAATAATCACTGTGAAAAACCATATCATGTTGCTGCTGATCTGTTTCATGTTGCTGCTGATCTGTTTCAATGTTGATGTGTTCATGCGTGCACATCTGCTCACAGACTCATGTTCATGTTTGTGCTGATGTTCAATGTTTTATGTTATGAGTGCTTAGTGTATATTTAGTTGATGTTTTTCTTAGTTCATATCTTAGATCTTATTACTGTTTTTCTTATACATTTTATTGTTGGATGTAACTGGGACCCTGTGTACATAATTTCGCTCCACCACATGTACCACATGAGGTGCGAATGACAATAAAGAAACTCTGACTCTGACTCTGACTCTGACTTTAAGCTCAATATATTTTATAATTTTACTTACAGGGCTCCTCACGTTTGTTCATTCAGAAGGACTAAACTGGTTAACACTTTACTAAATTTCTTGCTACTGTGTTTATCTCCTCACACAACAGCAAAAAAGCTACTAAACAATTCCACATGTCAATATTCATGTTTATTATCAAATATAGAACCAAACATGTAATGTTGGATGCTGTCTACCATGGCGCTTTAAGGTTCATAACTGGTTGTAACTACCGTACCATCACTGCACCCTGTACTCATTGGTTAGTTGGCCATCATTGTCTACACGTAGGCTCACACACGGGTTCATTTTCATCTATAAATCACTCTTTGGTCTGTTGGCTTCATATAGCTGTTACTACATGTCACGTCATCAGTACAGATACAGCGTGTACTCTCAGATCTTCATTACCTACAGCGTTCCCTCAGTGTGGACTAAACTCGGCAAAAAGGCCTTTTCCTACTCTGTTTCTGTAACCTGTAACACATTGCAACAAGATCTGAAGCTGTCCACTTTGATTTCTTTAAGGGATTTTAATAATTTGATAAGGTTTCTAGAAAAATCTATGTTAATTTGTTCTTGCTTTTAGTAGTTTACTTTGTTTCTAAGGAAATTTGATTGAAGTGGTTTATTGCATTGAGTTGTTTTAACTGCTTTTGTTGTTGTCATGATTTTGTCTGTCTAAAACAGATCTCTCTTAAAAATGAGTCCTTGTGATTCAATGAGGCTAATAAGTGCCTGAGGTGCAATGCAATGAGGCTTGTATAAATAAAGGTTGAATAAATACAGGTCCTTCTAAAAAAATTAGCATATTGTGATAAAGGTCATTATTTTCCATAATGTAATGATAAAAATGAAACTTTCATATATTTCAGATTCATTGCACACCAACTGAAATATTTCAGGTCTTTAATTGTTTTAATACTGATGATTATGGCATACAGCTCATGAAAACCCAAAATGCCTGTCCCAAAAAATTAGCATATCATGAAAAGGTTCTCTAAACAAGCTATTAACCTAACCATCTGAATCAACGACGTAACTCTAAACACCTGCAAAAGATTCCTGAGGCTTTTAAAAACTCCCAGCCTTGTTCATTACTCAAAACCGCAATCATGGGTAAGACTGCCGACCTGACTGCTGTCCAGAAGGCCATCATTGACACCCTCAAGCAAGAGGGTAAGACACAGAAAGAAATTGCTGAACGAATAGACTGTTCCCAGAGTGCTGTATCAAGGCACCTCAGTGGGAAGTCTGTGGGAAGGGAAAAGTGTGGCAGAAAACGCTGCACAACGAGAAGAGGTGACCGGACCCTGAGGAGGATTGTGGAGAAGGGCCGATTCCAGACCTTGGGGGACCTGCGGAAGCAGTGGACTGAGTCTGGAGTAGAAACATCC